GATATAGACAACAAGCATTTAAAGTTCAAAGGAAGGCTAGTTCTGTGTGAGTTATAGTCATTAGAAAAGATTCATGGTAGATGTAGGTATAAGGCTGAAGCTAAACTTTTATAATTTAATAATAGCACTTACTATATATTGTTCCTGATTAACAAAGTAATTCATTTTCATAGGAGAACATTTGGAAAATTTTAGCAGAACAAAAATTACAGCCCCTCCCCCCCAATTTTCTTGTAATTCTATCATTTGGAGTCAACCACTGTTAATATTGTGGTATATGTCTCTGTAATCTTTTTTGCAAGTATGTATGCTTATTTTAAGTTAGAAAACTGTATGTATTGTTTTGAAACTGTTTCCACTTAACAGTATATGGTAAATATTTTTTATGTCATTAAATATTCTGCAATTCTATTTAAAAAGTTTTAATTGAATAAAATACACATAACACAAAATTTATTATCTTAACTATTTTAAGTGCTCTGTTCAGTGGTGTTAAATATATTCACATTGTTGTGCAATCTCCAATACTTTTGCACCTTGCAAAACTGAAACTCTATACCCATTAAACAACCCCTCATATGCCCCTCCTTTTAGCCCCCAGCAAACACCATTCTACTTTCTGTCTCTGAATCTGACTACTTTAGATACCTCATATAAGTGGAATCATACAATATCTGTCTTTTTTTCACTTAGCATAATCTCAGGGTTCATCTATGTTATAGCATGTGTCAGAATATCCTTCCTTTTAAGGGCTGAGTAACATTCCATTGTATGTATACAACACATTTTATTTATACGTTCGTCAGTGGACACTTCGATTGCCTCAAACTTTTTGGCTGTTGTGAATAATGTTGCTATGAATATGGGTGTACAAATACCTCCTCAATACTCTACTTTCAATTCTTTTGAGTATATACTGAGAAATGGAATGGCTGGATTGTATGGTAATTCTATTTTTAATTTTTTTAGGAACTGCTATAATTCTTTTCCATAGTGGCTGCACCATTTTACATTCCCACCAACAGTGCACAAGGGTTTCAGTTTCTCCACATCCTTGCCAACACTTGTTGTTTTTTGTTTTTTGATAGCAGCCATCCTAATCTGTGTGAGGTCTATCCATTTTGCAATCCTATTTTTAATGGCAGTATAGTCCATCATTTGTACTATAGCTTATTAAGCAGTTCCTTCTTACTTAAGAATTTGGTTGTTTCAACTTTTTCACTTTTGAAAATAATGCTGGGATTATTTTTATTCATATTTTGAATGTGTATTTTTCTTAGGGTATATAATCTAGAAATGAAATTTAAAATGACCTTTGAAGGGAGAAGAGGTATTAGACAGGTAGAAAGATGATATGAATATTCCAGAAAGGGCACAGGCTTAACAAAGACAAGGAAGCCTGGATAGCATGATTAATTAGAGGAACAATTAGACCAGCCTGTCTGGAGTAGAGGTTATCTACAGGTAGTAGGAAATAAGGCTAGAAAGAAAGTTAAGTAGTAGGTTGTGAAAAGCCTTGTTTTGTTTGGGAGGTACCAGCTTAAGAAGCTTAGGATTTGTTTAGAGGTAATGAATAATTAATCATTAAAAGTTTTTGACAGGATGAATACTTTCCAGAAGATTAATCCTAAAGCAATGTGCAGAATGGTTTAGACTAGAAGCAGAAGACGAGTTAGC